GCCAGGCCTTTTTTCCGAGGTGCCTGAGTGGATTCAAACCTCCAACCTTTCAGTTAGTAGCCGATCACTTAACTGTTTATGCCATCCCCGGACTCCAGATCCCCTTACCTGTCTAAAATTCAAACTCACTGGCCTGGCTTTTCTTTCTTCTCTCCTTATGCCTATCTTAACAAAAATCTAATTCTATCTGACAAGCCATTGATTGGGTATGATGAAAAAGACTCCATGTTGCTTGAACTCTTCAGATACTTCACTGGACAAGCTTTTCTCCTAAAGGTTCCTTGAGCTTTCAAAGCCTTTTTACCAACTATATTTTTCCCTCTCAATTTAATCTCCCTCATTTCTAGTGATTCTCCAGCCTAGGCTCTGCTTCTGGATCCCGCCTGGCTTACTTGTGCCTACTTTTCCAGGCCCAAGATACTCTCCTTATCTATTCCGTCAAGGGGCTTTTCCTGACAGTTCCTCCTGGAAGCTCCTCACTCCTTTTTTGTTCTCCTGGATACTTACAGGCTCTATGCTCAGAATGACCGAGTCAGAGAACGGGAGAGAGCCGGAAGGTATCTGTAAGCAGAGCCCAGCACTGATTTATAATTGAAAGAAGTGAGGCCCATAGAGACTGACCAGTGTGCTCAAAGCTGCAGTCATGACTGATGTGTTGTATTTGTCCTTCTCACTCACATCCTGAATGTCTTCCTCTCCCATTAGACTCTAGTCTCGGAATCCCTCTGAGTCCAGGGTCCGCAGGGGGAGTTGGATAACCACTTCTGGTTCCCCTTGGCTCTCTGGTGAAACTTGAAAGCACTAAGTTTTTGAGGGCAGAATTTTTCTTAAAAAAGTCTTTACAAATACATGTGTGTATATGTATGTGTGTGTGTGTATACACATATTATTACAAAAGCAAAATATGATCATTATAAAAAAATAACATACTATAGAATTACGTAACAGGAAATGAGCGTTCCCTGTGATCCCATCCCCCTACTGCTGACAGTCTGGAGCACAGTACAGGCTTTCCCCTATGGTCTTATTAATGTCTCTTACTATTATTAAAAAACTGGAACTATACTATATTCACTCTTATCACTACAAAATAGCAGTTTAAATGGTTTTCAGATGGTGAACAACTGCCACGGAGGACGACACGGACCCCGAGACCATTAGCTCCACGCCCGCTCTCCTCCCCACCCGATGTCCGCCTGACTCCCACCCGGCAACCGAACTCGGTCATTCCATGCTCCAAAGGGAGGAACCAGGAGCAGGCAAGCAAGGAGCGGCCGAGAGAGGAAGGACACCTGTGCTGGGCTCCGGAAAACGAAGTCCCAGTCCAAAACCTGCCCCTAACAAGCTAAGTCGTTGAAGAGTCCCTGAGCCTTTCTTTGCCTCAATTTTCCCATATATCAAATGAAAATTCTAGTAACTATCTCCTTTCCTGATTTTGAAAATGAAATATTTTTTTTGTAAAGGCTCTAGCACAGTAGCTAGCATACGAGGCATTTTCATACATGTTAGATTTCTTTCCCCCTGTAAGATCTAAGACTAACTACTTATCTCCATGCTACGAGTAAAACTAGAGCATCAAATGTATTCTTTTACAAAACAGCTCTTGATTCTTTTCCTTTGATGACTGCGTAACTCTGGATTTAAATAAAACAGGATTCACCTAGGTCACAGTCCTCTGCCTACAGACCACAGTCAAGAAGAAGTTCAAGAGGCTGTGTGTCCTGAATAAGATCTCCCCAAGATGACACTCTGGGGATGATTGTGATTAGTCCCGTTCCAAAGTATTCACTCATTCATTCATTGAACATTACGAATTGCCTAGGCACCATGCTAGGTGTTTAGCACGTACAAGACGAGTTAAGCCTAGTGGGAAACTCCGACTTGTAACAAACAATAATAACAGAAAAGGGAAGTGCTATAACAGACAAAGATCCAAGATGCTGCCTGGAACCCTAAACTCCAAAAAGAGAAGACATATTTACCAAAATCATGACACTATCAAAGAGAACTCAGTGAGATGTCTATGTGTGTGGTGGGGCTGGTGGGGCTGGAAAGGCGTGGGGCAGGAAAGGGGTAGGCAGGAAACCCACCGTCTGGGGTTACTTGCTGAAGCCTGGGAAAGAAGCCCTCTGCATAAAAAGCCTTCCAGGGGAGGGGGTTGGACTGGCTGCCTCAAGCCCACATATTCCCCCTCTGGAAGACCTAAGAGTAGGTTCACCACGGGAGAAAATTAGGCCCAGTTTTGTTCATGGGAGGGAGGAAAAGATAAAAACTACAAGTAGATTCCAGGGACTGTCAGGGGCTAGATTTAGTAACTCACTGATTAATTGGTCAGCTCGCTGGTGACTGTTTGGCTAAACATTGTGATTGTCATTTGATCTGTTTTCTTCCCATGCCATCTCTCTCCCATCATCCGAAATTACTTTAGAAATTCCACCTTCTGAAGACCATCCTCCTGGATTCAGAGATTACTAGGTACTCGGAGTTAAAAGGAACCCTAAATCAACGCAATCTCTATCAAAATTCCAACAGCCTTTTTTTGCAGAAGTAGAAAAGCCAATTGTCAAATTCATATGGAATTGTAAGGGATCCTGAAAAGCCAAAGGAATCTTAAAAAAGAAGAATAAAGTAGGAGGGGTCACACTTCCCGATTTTGAAATGTACTATACAGCTACAGTAATCAAAACAGTATGGTACTGATGTAAGGACAGACATACAGGTTATGGAGTAGAATCAAAAGTCTAGAAATAAACCCATACATCTATGGCCAGCTGATTTTGACAAGGGTGTCAAGTACATTCAACGGGGAAAGAATAGTCTTCAATAAGTGGTGATGGGACAACTGAATCTCCACATACAAAAGAATAAAGTTGTACTCACACTTCACACCATATGTGAAAATTAACTCAAAATGGAACAATGACCTAAAAATAAGAACTAAAACCATAAAACTCTTAGAAGAAAACATGGGGTAAAGCTTTGGAACCTAGTTTTTGGCAACAGATTCTTAGATATGACAAAAAAGCATGAACAACAAAAGACAAAACATATAAACCATACTACATCAAAATTAAAACCTTCTGTACATCAAAGGACTTTATCAACAAAGTGAAGAGGCAATCAACAGAGTAGGAGAAAATATTTGGTAACTATGTATCTGATAAGGGCTTGATATACAGAATATATAAGGACCTCCTATAACTCAACAACAAAAAGGCAAACAACCCAATTAAAAAATGGGCAAAGGACATGAACAGATGTTTTTCCAAAGAAGATATACAAATGGCCAGTAAGGACATGAAAAGATGCTTAATGTCATTAGTCATTAGGGAAATGCAGATAAAAACTTCATCCCCTTTACGATGGGATGATTACTATTAGAAAAAAACGAAAAATAACAAGTGTTGGTGAGGAGAAATTGGAACCCTTCTGCACTGCTAGTGGGAATGTAAAATGGTAAACTGCTGTGGAAAACAATCTGGAGGTTCCTCAAAAAGTTAAACATAGAATTACCATATGATCCAGTAATTCCACTTTTAGGGATATACCAAAAGACTTAAAGCAGGGACTCAAACATACATGTGATTATTCACTGTTCATTGCAGCATTATTCACAATAGTTAAAAGATGGAAACAACTCAAGTGTCCACCAACAGATGAATGGATAAACAAAATATGGTATATACATATAATGGAATATTATTCAGTCATAAAAAGGAATGAAGTTCTAATCCATGCTATAACTTGAACAAACCGTGAAAACACGCTGAGTAAAATGTCAGGCACAGAAGGATAAATACTGCATGATACCATTTATAT